AATCGACAAAATTAATTTTCTTTTTTTTTTTTTTAAATTAGTGGATGTCACAAATCTCCAAAGCAAATGGTGATGAAGCAAATAGGGTGTTAATGAAAAGACAAATAAAGGAGAAATTAGGGGACTTATCCCACATTTTTATTGATAGGATTAGATGTGAAAGGCAAAGGCAAAGGCTATGCCAATGGCCAACGAGTTCGAACCAAATGTTGGTATTTTTAGGTTGGCTCTTCCCTGATCACATGCAAGTAGGGATGGGTATAGGTCGGATTAGGTTAGATTTTCGGTTAATCTAATTGACCTGAAAATATATACTCACCCGAAATTCGATCCGATCCAAGTTTAGGAGTGATTACAACCGAACCGAATACGACCTGACTTTCTGAGATAAAACCCGAACCAAACCGATCCGAATCAAAATTTTGTAGATAGGATTAGATGTGAAAGTAGGGATGGGCATGAGTCGGGTTTTCGGTCCACCCGACCCGATATAACTTAAAAACCCGATCCAACCCGACCAGAAATAATAAAAAAATATTTTTATTCAATAAAAACAGTGACTTAATTGGAAAAAAAATAATATATAGAATGATATTATTGTAATTCTTAAATATATAAGGTAAAATATATATTTTCGGGTCGGGTCGGATATTTTTCACCCCAAACCCGACCTGAACGTCACATAAAAAACGACCGACCCGACCCTGATTTTTTTTAAAAAAAATTCGACCCAATCGAGTCGGGTCGAGTTGGAACCGCCGGGTTGGGTACTATTCCCATCCCTATGTGAAAGGTAAAGGCAAAGGCCAACGAGTTCGAACCAAATTTTTAGGTTGCTCATATCTTGGGGCAGTGGCCTGCACGGTTGTGATGAACGAGTTGAATCTAATGTATATCGTATCCGATCTCAGTGTCATTGTACCGTCTTAATCTCACCAGAAACAACTTCACCGTTCGTATCGATATCAGTTATTACTTCAATTGATCGTCATATCGGTATATGGTGAAATCTGTTAGCATCCCTCACACTGAAACAACCTCGACGATCTTCGAAGCACTTAAATCTTGGTTCATCCCAGCCACCCATGGAGAAGAACCAATGATTGCCAACTTCTCACTGTAAACCCTCAAGCTCTTGACTTTCGACTCTTCGTCTACATCACGCAATGCGATTTCGCCTAACGAATTGGCCCAGTTCTTCGTTCTTCGCTCCATCTCTTAAACACTCATGGATCTGTCTATCACCGGGTGGAATGGAACTACAGAACTACAATGATACATTAATAATTTATGATAAATTTAATATAAAAATTACGGTAAATTAAGTTTAATACCTAGACTATCAATTTTGATCTATTTTAATACTTAACTTTCAATTTTTTTTTAAAATCATACCTAAAATTAATTTTTGTTTCATTTTAATACTCATGTTTAAAATTTAACGTTAAGCTTTGAAAAAAAATTGAAAATCTAAGTACTAAACGGACAAAAATTGATAGTTTAAGTACTAAACACGTTAAATTTTTAACGGTGGGATACCAAAATGAAAACAAAAATTAAACGTTAGGTATGATTTGAAAAAAATTAAAAGTTTAAATATTAAAACATATCAAAATTAATAGTTTAGGTACTAAATGTATAGTTTACTCTAAAAATACTAATAATTTAGGTACTAAATGCATCATTCGATTTATCATCGGAAACAAAGGAAATGAAACCCTAAACTGCATTTACGATGGCATTGAAATACAAAAGTACAACTGGCAAGTACACCAAAGAACACTATGGCCAAAAGGATACACTATGATCCCCAACACATAAAGGAACTAACAGAAAGAAACATGCTTCGCTAAATTGTCACGAGAATGAGAGGCCACATACGACAATTATGAGATACACACTACAATCCATGAACAATGCATCGATCGCCTTCTTTGCCACCAATCCTACCTCCAACGTCTTGCTTAATTGCTCGGCCCAATTATTGTCATCGGCTGAGGAGGGTTTGTTCTCTCCCGCAATGACTTTTCGAGAACTTACGCGATCACCGGAAAGAAGTCGCCCCATCACGAGTGTTATGTTGGTCAACAGAATGAAGTAAACTGGCCTGAAGCTGATAATGCCCCCTAGGAATCTGTTTCCTAGAAGAGGAAACCCCAAACGTACCAGAACAACTGAGACGGCCACGATCACTGAACATAAGAGGCGTGCTTGTCCAGATGCATCAATTGCAGAACTTATTTGCTTAGGGTGAAAAATTATGTTTTCGAGTTGGTGTTTCTGAACGATGTACTGTCCTTGATGTGGAAATCGATGAAATTTGATCATCTGATAGAACCGGCACTGAATTCGCTTGACAGCTTGTATTCAACGCAGAATCATTTGAAGGCCCGATGTTTCTATCCCGTCTGTGGGATGTTGATCCTTCACCAATTCCATTATAAGTACTGGGCTGACTCTGATTAGCATCAGAACAGGATTATGTTTTAGCATCACAGAAGTAGAGGCTTCATCATGGACATCGGGAGAAACTGCATAGCAATAAAATCCGAAAGCAAAGTACTATATCTTTCGAAACTTCTTCATTACTCCAGTAACTTGGTAATATCAAACAAGGATAGTTGAGGGTGCTTATGAGAAGCAAGTTCAATGCTTTCAGGAAACCGAAAAGCTAAGCCTGAGAAGAAACTAGCTTTCCCAAATGCAAGATTCAGCTACCATCCTAATTTCAAATTTTCAATTGCCAGGATTCACTAAAACTTGATCCTCAATTGGCCCATCCAATTATTAATGCATAATAAACTGAAACAACCCTTGAAAAGATGCATAAAAATCAGTATGGAAGGAGAGAGAAGAAGAGAATTAGCAAAACCCGAAAGCAATTAATCAAAAGAACATGGAATCCGTTGAAAAATAAATAAAAAACCATCAGTATTTGAGTCTTTCGAAACTTTTGTTCATCATTTCAGTAACTTGGTGGCACTTACGAGAAGCAAGCAAGCTCAATGCTTTCCAGAACCGAGAAAGCTAAACCTCATAAGAGACTTTAACTAGCTTTCCCAACGCAAAATTAAGCTCCCTTTCTAAATCCAAAATTTCAATTGCAAGAATCAAACTAAACATCAATCCTTAACAGACCCATCCAATTATCAATGCATAATAAACTGAAACGTACCTCCAAAGATGAATAAAAATCTGAATAGAGGAAGGGAGAAGAAAAGGGAATCCATCAACAAAACCATTGGTATTGGTATTCTTCGATACTATTCATTATTTCGGTAACTTGGTGACATGAATGAAGGAAATTTGACCCAAAACGCTAAACCTTGGAAGAAACTTTGACCCGAAACTTCGATACTTCTATTCATTATTCCGGTGCTTTCCAGAACCCAAAACGCTAAACCTTGGAAGAACTTTGAGTAGCTTTCCTATTTCAAAATTTAGCTACCTTTATACATCCAATTTTTCAATTGCTAGGATTCAACTAAACCTCAATCCTTAGTTGACCCACCAAAGTATAAAGACATAACAAACCGAACGAGTATAACCCTTCAAAAGATTCATAAAAATAAGAATTGAGGAATATTTATCAGCACTAGAAATAGAATCAAAATAACACAAATCCATCAATAAAATCATTGGTATTAGCATTTTTCGATACTTCTATCCGTTATTTCAGTAACTTGGTGACACCAATGAGGATATTCGATGGTGCATATGAGAAGCAAGTCTGGTGCTTTCCAGAACCCAAAACATTAAACCTTGGAAGAAACTTTGACTAGCTTTCCTATTGGAAAGTTTAGCTACCTTTGTAAACCAAATTTTCAATTGCTAGGATTCAACTAAACCTCCATTCTTAATTGACCCATCAAAGTATAAAGACATAACAAACCGAATCGAGTATAATCCTTCAAAAGATACATAAAAATAAGAATTGAGGAATATTTATTGGTACTAGAATCAAAGGAACATGAATCCATCAAAAACATAGGTATTAGTATCTTTCAGAACATTTATTCGTTATTTCAGAACCTCAGACATTAATCAAGGATGCTTAACACTAGAAGTAATCTCAATTCTTTCCAGAACCCAACAAGCTAAACCATAGAAGATACTTCGACTAGATTTCCCAAATCCTAACTCCAACTACCATCCTACATTTCAATCTTTCAATTGCTAAGATTCAACAAAACCCTGATCCTCAATAGACATAATCAACTGAAAAGATAAATAAAAATGAAAACGGAGGGGAGCGAGAAAAGAGTACCGGCGATTTGACTTGGGAAGTCGGGTGGAGGGGGGCCGACGGAAGCGGAGGAGGGCTGATGTCGATTTGGTTTTCAGAGTGAGGAGGATGAGGAGGGAGGTTTTGGAGATGACCCTTAATAAAAGCCAAGCGATCGGATCCTCTTTCGAGGATTTTCCGGCGCCGACTTTCTCCGCTGCTTGTTGCCATGCTTTCACGGCTGCTGTCTATTGAAATCTTGAAATTTGGAGACCTCAAACGGACCAAGAGCAATAAAATGCTTCAATTCGGTTTGCTTTTGATTTGGATAATAATAAGGGTAAACTACTTTTTTATCATTCAACTTTGATTGTATTTCTTCAGTCACTTAACTTTCATTTTTTTCAATTTCATTATAACTTTTCAAAGTTAGTTCTTTTAATCACTCAATCGATAAATGTTTTTTAAGGCGTAAATATGAAATAAGTACCTAAACTATAGCGTTTTGGTAATTTTGAAATTTATTTATTTTTTAATTATTTAAAATATTATTATATTTATAACAAAACCTAATTTATCTTAAATTACAAAAAAATCTCCTAAATCCTCAAATCCTAACCCTAACCCGTAGTCGCTACCCTTTTTGGCCACGACAACGCTGCTGCCCTTTCTAGCCACGACACTTCCGCCAACGTAGTCACTTCCATATACGTCGTAGTTGTCGTCAATTGACCATCAGAATCGCATGGGATCACGATTTTCATCCTAGGGTTCATAGGGTATAAAATGTCAATTCGTCGTCGATCGATCACAATTTTCATAAGGATTTTGGTCGTCGAAGGGAGGTGAGGTCAAGTGGAGCTTCATTGACGATAAAGGGCGGTGGCCTACATGGGTTTAGCGGTTAAAATGAAGATTTTCAAAGTTTTGGAGTTATTTCAAAATTTATGTGTTTTAAATTTTTTTAAAAATATATAATTTTAAAATTTTGATTTTAAATAAAAAATTTAAAATTATCAGGTTATGACACGTGTCACTTAACAGAGGAAATTAAGTCATTGCCTAAAGTGGTAATGTTTGTAACGTTAATACACTAAGATCATTTAAAAAATAGTTTAGACATCTATTCATGAAAAGAACTATAATTTAGATACTTATTTTATAATTAAGGCTTTTTTTTAAATTTATGTAAAAAATAGAGTTATTCAGTTTTCGAATTTAACTTGACTAACTTCTTATATTTTTTGAGTATGAATCGAGTTAAACTTTTATAATTTAAATATCTGAAAAACCATTGTTTTGAACCGCTGTCTAGTCCGGTTCAATCTACATCAGTTGAACCGCTACTAGTAAACCGGCCGGAACCGTTGAATTGTTCGAACCAGACCGGCTGAAAACTGGAAAAATCGAGAAAAACCGCCATTTTGTTTTTTTTAAATTAAACCAAATGACGTCGTTTGTTAAACGAGCCAAGTCGAACTCGAGTATTGCTGAGCTCGACTCGAACTTGAAAACTTTAAAAGTAAGCTCAACTCAACTCAAACTCACGAGCTAAAAATTATCAAGTTCAACTCGAACTCGAAATATAATATTGAAACTTGAACTCGAAAAGGCTTGAACTCAAAAAAAATTTAGAAGCTCGATTAAAGCCTAAAATTCGAGCTTGGTTGAAGTGAAAGAATAATTCACTCAATGCTCACCAAAAGGCTCCATGATTTTGAATGTCAAATTACCTCTATTATTTATAGAAGTTAGTTGGGATGTTATTCTATGTTTCTTAGCCATGTGAGGTTGTTTTGTTCTCATATTTTTACTCTTTAGACTTTTGAGATGCTCTTCTATATTTCTTAGCCATGTGAGATTTTTTTTTTTAAAAAAAAATTAAACAAACAATATCATTTTGTTATGATTTTTTAGCCCCAAATTTATTTTTTAATTATAGTTATATAATTATATTTATTATTTAATATATTTTACCTTAAATATTATGTTGTAGTTAATTTGAATAATTTTGTTTCACTTGATTTTATGGTTTTTAACTTATATATGTTATGACTTGCTTTGAATATGACTTGTGATATAAAAAATTATTTTTTATTAAATATTTTTGGTATTTTTATTTAATTTTTTAAATAATTATGACGTCGTCTGGTTCTTTCGACCGGTCAGACCGATTCAACCGATTGAACCAGTGAACCGATAGCATGTCCGGTTCGCTAAGCGGTCCAGTTCTGAAAACCAAGCGAAAAACCCTTTAACAAATAGTTGTATACACTCATTGGACCCACAATAACAATAATACCACGTTTGGATAATCGGAATATCCAAATTGATCCATTAGATTGATAAATTAAATATTAAGCATCGAACAAATAAATTAAATAAATTAAATAAATTAAATTCTTTGATCAATTTCGATTATTAAGTCTTAACACACTATAATTTTATCTTGTGAAATTTACAAATCTAAAGGTGATATAACAAAGCATGGAACCGAGCAGATATGATATTTCTTCTACGAGAATATATTTCATAATGATCGGAGAACTTAAAAAAGAGTAAGTTATGCGTTTAATACTTAAATTATCAATTTTAATCTGTTTTAGTATCAAATTTTTAATTTTTTCAAAATCATACTTAAAATTTAGTTTGACTTATTTTAGTACCCCAATTCAAAATTTAATGTTAAGTTTTAAAAAGACTAAAAGTTCAAGTACCAAAACAGACCAAAACTAATAGTTTAGGTACTAAACGTGTTAAGCTTTTAATGGAGGGTACTAAAATGAAATAAAAACTAAAGTTTAGATACTAAAACGGATCAAAACTAATAGTTTAGGTGTTAAATGCGTAGTTTACCCTAAAAGTAAAAACATAGAAGCAACGAAGATGCCTTGATTATCAATCTGAAACTGGTAGGAAGAGAGTATAGTAAAAACATATCCTTCACTCTGTATCAAACAAATAGCCTAAAAGATAATGATAGGTTCGTAAGTATTTGCTCCTTTAGCCTCGATTTCTCTAAGATGACGGATTTGACTCTTATCATTTTATACATTCGACAAATTCTACAGTAAGTATGAAACTATTAATTTTCCAAAGTAAAATATACCGAATCTAGGAAAGAGAGATCAATAATTTAACTAGAACCTCGGTTATCAACCTCTTTTATTTCTAGTCTAAAGAAAGCACATGAACAACTGATGCATATCTACCATAGATATGACCATGAAGGAACATTATGATCATTGATCAATAGACCTGAATTAGAGATGTACATGAATCGGATTGGGTTGGATTTTATGACCGACCCAACCCGTGTCTAACGGGTTCCATCTTCTAAAACTCGACCTGATTTCTTTGGGAAGAACATTTTCATTTCACATCACAACAATATAGAGCATAGATTAAAAACACTTAAGAGGAAGTTAATTTCATCAATACATGATCGGGAAGTTAGTAAACTTGGGGGCTGTTTGTTTGGCTCTGAATGGAATCATTCAGCGTTGAATGTTGAACCGTTCAGTATTCAGCACGTTTGTTTCGCACCTCTGAAGGATTCAGTGCTGACTGATTCAATAAAACAATATTGAATGATTCAGCATCAAAGTACATTCTGAATGATTCAACGCTTAATCATTCTGAAGTAAACAAACAACCCCTTAATTGAGAGGAAACCAGAATACTCTACACTTAACGAATAAAAAATAAAATAGGTATAAGTGATCATCAACGAAGGACGCTGAATTTGGTTATATCTGGTTAATGCAGAAAAGAAACTCGGAAAGAGAGGGAGCACTATTCTTATGGCAGATGGATCAGAACGAAGAATTTAATGCTCTGAGATAAAATGATCACTTATTCATTGTCTAAATGTTAAAATAAAATTTAGGGTAAACTACACATTTTGTACCTAAACTATCAGTTTTGATCCATTCTAACACCTAAACTTTCAGTTTTTTTTTCAAAATCATACATAACATTTAGTTTTTGTTTCATTTTAGTACCCCACCATTAAAAACTTAACGCATTTAATACTTAAACTATTAATTTTGGTTCATTTTAGTACCTAAACTTTTAATTTTTTTAAAACTTAACATTAAATTTTGAATGGGTACTAAAATGAACAAAAACTAAACTTTAGGCATGGTTTTGAAAAAATGAAAGTTTAGGTACTAAAATGAACTAAAACTGATAGTTTAGGTACTAAACGCATAATTTTCCCTAAAATTTATCAGTTATCCATAGTTTGATCTGTTTAACTGATGATTATTCTACCTATGTAGGCTATGTCGCATGACATTTCTAAAGATTTTTTTTTTGCAAGACAGTTGCATGTGTCATATGAATGGATACTTGTATATGTCCACTGTTTGTGACAGAGGCAATGTTGGTTTTTGGCAAAAGTCCCACATTGGTTGTGTATAAGGAGGAGGGGGAATTCTTTTGTTATAAATAAAGCCCTCCTCCTCCTTAGTTAATCATCCCACAAATATAAGCCTTCTTCTATTTTAAAGGCTATTTGTATTCTTTCTCTCTTTGTAATATTTCCTCTATTAGTGAAATATTTTTGTGTTCTCTTTTATGTCTATTTAATAGTTATTGTCGGGTATAGTTGTTGTCAATTATTGTCCTATTAAAATTACTTGTCTTGGTAGTTCTGTCTAAGGAAAGTGGGTTTTTAAGAGGGACCATTGTGACCCCTCCTCTTTCCTGGGAATCTACCTTGGGGTGATTTTTAGTACAATCGATTTCACACTAGTCACCTAGATAATAGTTTTCAAGGTGAATCTGTTATTGGTGGAAATTAACCCGAATTTCACAACAATTGGTATCAGAGCTCTTGGTTTATTTTAGTATGCTCTGTGGTTGCGGCTTAGGCTGATCTTCCACATCAGAAAAATTTCCTTGGGATAATTGACATTCTGCATTGGCAGCTATTAAATAGAATTTGTAGCAGAAATGGCATACGCTTCTTCATCTTCAATTTTAGCAAGAAATGCTGTGACAAATGTTAGATTTACAGTGGAGATTTTTGATGGCACCGGTCATTTCGGCATGTGGCAAAGCGAGGTTCTAGATGCCCTATTTCAGCAGGGTCTAGACATTGCTATTGAAGGAGAGAAACCAGATGATGTTGAGGAGAAAGAATGGAAGAGGATCAATAGAATGGCATTGGTACTATTCGATCGTGTCTTTCTAGAGAGCAGAAGTATGCATTTTCTAAGGAAACTTCTGCAAGTAAATTGTGGAAGGCATTGGAGGAGAAATTTTTGAAGAAAAGCGGTCAGAGCAAACTCTACATGAAAAAGAGAATGTTCCGCTTCAACTATGTACCAGGTACCACTATGAATGATCACATTACTAGCTTTAATCAGCTGGTGACTGATCTGATGAATATGGACGTGACTTTTGAAGACGAAGATCTGGCTCTGATGTTGATGGGATCATTTCCTGATGAGTTTGAGTATCTTGAAACTACTCTACTTCATGGGAAGGTTGATGTGTCTCTCAGTGAAGTAACTGCTGCCTTGTATAGTTATGAATTGAGAAAGAAAGACAAACAAGAAAACACAAGTGTCGAAGCAGAAGCTCTTGTTGTTAGAGGCCGTTCCAAGAGTCAGAATAAAGGAAGCAGATGGAGATCGAAGTCAAAGTCCAGATTGAGCAAAGATGAATTTGCCTTTTGTCGAGAAAAAGGGCACTGGAAGAAAGAATGTCCCAGGCTAAAGAATAAAGGCAAACCTGAAAGGGGGAAGGTTGTCTCAGAATCAAATGTGGTCGAGTATGATGATGGAGATTCAGATTTCGCATTCGCTGCTACGCCATCAACCAGCTGTTCCAGTTCATGGCTGTTAGATTCAGCTTGTAGCACCATATGACCCCCAATAGAGAATGGTTCTTTGATTTTAAAGAACTAAAAGGTGGAATTGTCTACACAGCAAATAATTCCCCTCTTGACACACTTGGGATTGGTTCAATTCGCTTGAGGAATCAGGATGGATCAATCAGAACCTTAACAGGTGTCCATTATGTACCATATTTAATGAGAAATCTCATCTCTGTGGGAACCTTAGAGTCAAAAGGTTTAGAAGTGAGGGCAAAAGATGGGATTATGAGGATTATCTCTGGTGCACTGGTGATATGAAGGGAATCCGAAAAAGAAACAATGTGTATTACTTTCTGGGTAGTACAATTGTTGGGACAGCAGCAGTGGCAGCTTCTACTGATGAACAGGAGTCAGAAGCAACCAGGTTATGGCATATGCGCTTGGGGCATGTTGGTGAAAAATCCTTGAAATTACTGATAGATCAAGGATTATTGAAGGGTGCTCGGGCTTGCAAATTAGCTTTTTGTGAGCATTGCATCAAAGGGAAGAAGACGAGGGTGAAATTTGGAACATCAATCCATGATACTAAAGGTATTTTGGATTATGTTCATTCAGATGTATGGGGGCCTTCCAAGACAACTTCATTGGGAGGAACACACTATTATGTCACCTTTGTTGATGATTTTTCCCGGAGAGTTTGGGTGTATCCAATGAAGACAAAGGATGAGGTGCTAGGATTTTTCCTTAAATGGAAAAAGATGATGGAGACTCAAACAGGCAGAAAAATCAAACGTCTCCGTACAGACAATGGTGGAGAGTACAAAAATGATCCATTTCTGAAAGTCTGTGAAGAGGAAGATATTGTTAGGCACTTCACTGTCAGAGGTACACCACAACAGAATGGAGTGGCAGAGCGTATGAACCGGACATTAGTGGAGAAGGTTCGGTGTATGTTGTCTAATGCTGGGTTAGGCAAAGAATTTTGGGCTGAGGCTTTTGTCTATGCTTGTCACCTTTTCAACCGCTTACCATCGACTGCTATTGGTGGTAAAACACTATTAGAGAAATGGTTTGGAGTACCTGCTACAGATTATGATTCCTTACATGTGTTTGGTTCCACTGCATACTACCATGTTAAGGAGTCAAAGCTGGATCCAAGAGCAAAGAAGGCGATTTTTATGGGGATCACCTCTGGTGTGAAAGGCTATCGTCTTTGGTGTCCAGAAACAAAGAAAATAATCTTCAGCAGGGATGTTACCTTTGATGAATCTACCATGTTGAGAAATGTGACTTCAAAAAAATTGGAGCAGACAGATGGAACTCCCAAAAAGGTGGAGTTTGAAGGAAGCAAATTTGTCCCAACCAGTAAAGAAAATGATGTTGACTCTCCTATGGTAGAAGAAGAGTCAGATGAAGAAGAGGTTCAGACCCAAGAACCTCCACAACAACATGAATCAATTGCACTCAGAAAGGGAAAGAGGACAATTAGACAACCTGCTCGTTATGCTGATATGGTCTATTTTGCATCACCAATTGCAATTGATGACGTTCCTGCCACTTTTAATGAAGCAGTTCAAAGTCCAGAACATAAAAAGTGGAGGATTGCCATGAATGAAGAAATGCAATCCCTTCAAAAGAATCAGACGTGGAAACTAGCTAGTCTTCCGAAGGGAAAGAAGGCAATTGGGTGCAAGTGGGTATATGCAAAGAAAGATGGATTTCCTGACAAGAATAACATCCGCTACAAAGCAAGATTGGTGGCTAAAGGCTACGCTCAAACGGAGGGAGTTAATGATAATGAAGTATTTTCTCCAGTTGTAAAACATTCCTCCATCAGAATTTTGTTGGCTTTGGTAGCGCAGTTGGATTTGGAACTAGTTCAGATGGATGTAAAAACTGCATTTTTACATGGAGACTTGGATGAGGAAATCTACATGACTCAGCCAGATGGATTCAAAGTTGCTGAAAAAGAAGAGATGGTGTGCAAATTAGAAAAATCGCTGTACGGATTGAAGCAATCTCCAAGGCAGTGGTACAAGCGATTTGACAAGTTTATGATAGGGCAGAAGTACACAAGAAGCAAATATGATCATTGTGTGTATTTACGCGAGCTAGAAGACGGATCCTATATATATCTTCTTCTTTATGTTGATGATATGCTGATAGCTTCCAGGAGTCAGACAGAAATTGCGAAACTAAAGACTCAATTGAACAGGGAGTTTGAGATGAAGGATCTTGGTGAAGCGAAGAAGATTCTAGGCATGGAGATATCAAGGGATAAGAAATTGGGGAGGATTTGTTTATCTCAGAAAGAATATCTGAGGAAGGTACTAAAACGTTTTGGCATAAATGAGATGTCAAAACCAATTAGTACACCTCTTGCTCCTCATTTCAAGCTCGGTGCATCCATGTCACCTAAGGATGATGCAGAACGTGAATACATGTCAAAGGTTTCGTATGAAAGTGCTGTTGGTAGCTTGATGTATGCAATGGTGTGTACGAGACCCGATATTTCACAGGCAATTGGGGTTGTGAGCAGGTATATGCATGATCCTGGAAAGGAGCATTGGCAAGCTGTGAAATGGATTCTGCGGTATATTCTGAACACCGTAGATGTTGGTTTGGTCTTTCAGCAGGACAAACAAGATGGTCAGTGTGTAGTTGGGTATTGTGATTCAGACTATGCAGGTGATTTGGACAAGCGTCGATCAACTACTGGTTATGTGTTTACATTTGCAAAGGCATCAGTCAGTTGGAAGTCCACCTTACAGTCAACAGTGGCTTTGTCTACTACAGAGGCAGAGTATATGGCAGTTACAGAGGCTGTGAAGGAGGCAATTTGGCTTCAAGGGTTGCTTGGTGAATTGGGAATGGAACAAAAGCACATCAAAGTGCACTGTGACAGTCAGAGTGCTATTCATTTAGCAAAGAACCAGGTTTACCATGCAAGGACGAAGCACATCGATGTTCGATATCACTTTGTACGAGAGATTCTAGAAGAATGTGGAGTCATAATCCAGAAGATTCGGACCACTGAGAATCCTGCTGATATGTTGACAAAAGTGGTAACTGCGGTCAAGTTTAAACATTGTTTAGATTTGGTCAATATTGTTACAAATTAAAAGATTGTTTTTTTTAGAGATGTGTGTGGAATTTGCCAAGGTTGAGATTTGTTGGTTTTTGGCAAAAGTCCCACATTGGTTGTGTATAAGGAGGAGGGGAAATTCTTTTGTTATAAATAAAGCCCTCCTCCTCCTTAGTTAATCATCCCACAAATATAAGCCTTCTTCTATTTTAAAGGCTATTTGTATTCTTTCTCTCTTTGTAATATTTCCTCTATTAGTGAAATATTTTGGTGTTCTCTTTTATGTCTATTTAATAGCTATTGTCGGGTATAGTTGTTGTCAATTATTGTCCTATTAAAATTACTTGTCTTGGTAGTTCTGTCTAAGGAAAGTGGGTTTTAAGAGGGACCATTGTGACCCCTCCTCTTTCCTGGGAATCTACCTTGGGGTGATTTTTAGTACAATCGTTTTCACACTAGTCACCTAGATAATAGTTTTCAAGGTGAATCTGTTATTGGTGGAAATTAACCCGAATTTCACAACAGGCAATGCATATTTACCCATTGTGTTTTTAGCTTCAATGATAATGGTAGAGTGACATTTATTTATGCCCAATATTAACCCATCTTCGGTTATCAGGTTTTCCATAAGAGTAATATGAAGGTGGTGATGGAAATTATAGAGCTTACAGTTCTCATTCTCTGCTATTCAGCATGTCCAAAACAGTGAATGCAGCTTTCTGGAACCGTTCCTTCTCTTCCTCCAAACTTTTCTTCTTTTCAAGAGCAGAGACTTTGCACTTCTCTACCTCTTCCATTATTCCCGAAGAGTTTTGATCAATTTCACTGCAGAAATTTATTTGAAAGGGAAACAGAATATAATGTTAGGAGAAATAACAGAGTTTTGATCATTATTCCCAAATTAAGTTCCACATTGCTATT